TATATATATACTACCTACCTACTACTACTATATATATATATATATATATATATATATATATATATATATATATATATATATATGTACTGTATATAAACAGAATACTTATACTTTATGCATATACTTATTCATATAAAGATATGTATTCAAATTCAAAGTTTCACTATATATATGTTTGGTGGGTACGATCACAAATCATGCAGAACTACGAAAACTTAAATTACTGTATATTTCAGGTGGTTACATAATCATATCTCTCTGTTTAGAGTAGAACTACCAAAGCTATCTTGTTTGGTGTAGGCCACAGGTACACTCGTATAGACCCCAGTATTGCTTGGTATAAATCTGCAAGTCACACTTTCACATACCTGGGCTGCAGGATATAGGTTAGTGAACGTTACGGGAGCCATATTGCTTTGATTATCACTCTCCAGACTGGAACGTCTAGCCTTCATAGAGTTGGCGGCGTCAATTTCATACCTAGGCGACTGGTAGTTTGTCTGCGATGTATTATTATGTGTGGATTGTGAAATATGTGTGCTGATATTTTGCGCTCTTAAATTCTGGGGGGTTACTGAAGACGGTACATAAGTATTTGAGTTTGGTACAAGTTGATGCACGCATTCGCTGCCGTCAGCTAATTCGCTTTGAGATTGGGTTTCCGATTCATACGCAGGTGGCGCATATGCTGGAGGCCTCATATTCAATACATACAACACAATGAGTGGTGAAGGACATCTTATGATGATATTGAGCACCCTGAATTGTTTGTTCAATTTCTAGGAGCGCAATGACGCCATGTATGAAGCCTACATATGATTGTTTTGATAAATAGGATTTTTTAGAGTCGCGCTTATCGAGTTATCTTGAAATGTGCAATTTTTTATTTATTTTTTATGTATATGTTTTCAGGTCTCTTGATGTACAATATAAAATAAATACATAAATACTTACATACCCGAGTCCTGATCTATTTACATTATTGTTTGATATTTGATACATATTTATGTGCAAATAAATAGGTAATAACGATGTCATTTTTTTTATCACATATTTGTAATACTCAATACTACTCTCGCTTTACTGTTTTAATAAGTCACTTTTCGTGCAAAATAGATCACGATTTAACTGTTCTTGACAGAGCAATATACCACGACTACGTCACCTTCACAACCGGATATTTTTTTGAACATGTTGCTCTTACTAATGAGATATTGAAATAGGATCACAAGAATATCTTGAGGTGCGCAGTATTGCATGCCTGCCACCGCGTACCAGCGCTCTTCGTGACTCCAAACACTCCCGTAAGGTAGTGGTCGCGTACATATCGTCAACTTCTACTCTGTTTATTAACTATCATATATTTCGAATGTAGATTCGGGCAGTCAGAACGGTACCAGAACAACTAATATATACCGGGACACATGTGTGCAAAGTAATTTGTTGGATTTGCAGCTTTTCTCTGACTTTCAGTTGTCCTATCGAGCTTGGCTGATTTACTAGAGATTTGTTTATCGCGTGCTGGCGACAACATTCTTGGAAATGTATGAATGTCTGTCTTCTTGTCTCTGCACTTCGGGTCAGATTTACAATCCTCCTCAGCTACCGAAGATTCCCTTTCGACTTCGCGAACCTTGGCACAGAAAACACTATTGACAGAATCTCGGCGTAAGGATGTATAGGAACCGACCGACAGATTCTCATGATGTTGGTATTCAGGCGGTTGCTCTATTGGTACAGGAAAAGAATAGAAGTCCAGAAGATCGACTCCGAGCCTGCTCGGCGCTAGATCGTCCAGCACAACATGACTGCTTTGCAATGAAAACGGCACGCATAAAAGCACATTTGCCGAGCCCTTCACCTTTATCTCCACTTGCACAGCATATGACACTGTAAAGTGATTTTTGCCGTGTGAATCTGCGAGACAGATCGAGGGTGAAAGTGAAATTGTCGCATCCTCATCACCCTTGTATGTGTTCGTCGCTAATTTAAAATTGGGATTGCAAGCTGATTTTGGTATCAAACACGATGAATGGGTAGAAGCAATTCCAGTGGTGACTGCAATCCATTTAGATTTACAGGCCTTGTAGCGAAAACAACTTTCATCAACTGTACAGTTCGTTTCGCTGCTGTCGACTGATTTCTCTACAACCACTTTCTGGATGATTTTGGCACGTATACTTTTCACTTTGATGTGCTTGTTTAGCTTGTGTAGTACAACTGTAAAGTCAACAGGCTCATTACATCTATAAACGTCCCTGGAGAGGCTAAGTTCGGCTCTCAGTTGGTGCTGACCGGTTGAAGGACATGGCGATTCATACTGCACTCTCGGTGGCGAGTTCGTGTGGGCATAATACAGAGCTGTGGTCTTGAATTTCTTATAGGCCAGTACCTTAGGGCTGTTTTCGCTCACATGAAACAGTCGCACGTCCCACGTAATACTACAAAACCCATGAGTCATAGATGAAGGCATCTCCGACGGCAGATGAAATGAAAATGGTATCGAGGTGCTACCCGCCTCAACTATCAAATCCCTGCAAAGAACTTTCGAACAGATATGAACCTTCCGACAGGCATTGCTACCGTAAGCCACGAAAGGCAGGTTTAACCTGAAGGTGCACACAACTGCCACTTTTACTCGAGGTACGAGTATATCAATCTTGGTGCTCACTCTGACATTACCAGAGACTATGTCATTGCCATAGTACATACTCCTGTCCAATTCGACCGCGTACTCAGCAGAAGGTGATCCGTCCTCGACTTTGCTGGGAATGGGCTCTTCGTTTTGAATACGTAGAGCCGAAACGACATCCAGTGGATTTGGCGAGGGAATCATGCCATACATTCTATTAAAGTGATTATGTATATCCCTGTAGTTTGGTATTAATTGCGTCTGAATTTTATATATATATATATATAAATTTATGTATTTATCTATATTATTTTTTTTTAAATATTGTGTGAAACCACTCGCTCTACTAGTATTTTTTGTACTATATTTTAAACTCGAAATCGGGGAATAAGAACTTGAGACTTGAATCCACGCGAGTAATAGCAGTTCACGAGAGTCGAGCGACGAGACTTCACGAGAGCCGTGACTCGTGTGACTGTCGAGTGTCGAGTGTTGAGACATCGACCCGATTAAAAAAATGGTCACTGGTAAGTGGTAAGTGGTATTTTATCTGCACATATTTGAACCGAAATGCGAAATGAGAAAGGAGCGCTAACAACAATGCTGGTGATTTGATTTGATTTTATCTCATAGCCTCTTAAAATCGTTCGTTTATGAGGCTATTTGTTTATCTCTTTATCACCATTGTGTTTATTAATGAAATATCAATCACGTGTGCCTGGCCGGCAGTCGGTGTGTAGTCTGAAGTTGTCTGAAGAGTGAAGAAAGACTCTGTGTTCGACGCCCGGTAGTACTCTGGAACTCCGAACTCTGAAAGTGTAAACTGTGGAAGTACAGTGTACGTCACGCGGACGACGGACCACGGCCACTGGACAACTGGACACTGACATAGCACTCACTGTACCTATTTACGTTGCAAAATTTAAAAAAAATCACTTTGCACATTTGCTATTTTTGTAAACAAATCAAAAAAAGAGTATTATTTTATCTTTAAAAATAGCCCCTCAAGCCCTTATTTATTCATCAGTATTTATGACTCTCTCTTCAGACTTCAAGTCTCTCGCTCTCAGAGAAAGATACTATTTGGTGTATCTTATAGAAAATAGGCCTGCAAAAAGACCCCCATCAAGAGATGATATTCCAATTTATTTCTATAAATATGAATGACAACTTTAGAGCTATGTTCTTTTTTGAGCAGTTTGCATAGTGCATACTCTTTGCTATGTAATTAAAAAAAATTAAAAAAATAAAAAGCCGAAGCCCGAACATACTCATAGTCACATAAATACTCGTATGTATAGCGACATAAATTTTTCAAAATATTTATATTCGGCGCCGATGACTGTATTTGCAATTGTACATAGAAAAAAACTTTATTCTTTGGCCAGCTCTCTATATGTATTTTTAAAAACAAATCTTGTTTGTTTGTGTATTTTGTAAAAACAAAAAGTTATTTCCTCTCTATGTAGTGTACGGTATCTGGGGAATGAATTAAAAAAAGATGTATTTGCATAAAGAATTTTTGTTTTGAAAAAGGAGAGAGATCGCCAGAGTGAGAGTAAATACATAAAGAGCGAGAGTAAATACATAAAAATATAATATTTTACACAAAAAGATTCAAGAGAGACTGAGAGGGCTACATATAAAAACTAAAATTATATTTTAGCCTTCTGAAATTACAAAAAAATACACGAAAATATGATATTGGTTTTTTTTTAAATACAATACAATCAAACAGAAAAGTCATGCTTATGTTGCTTTTGTTTTGTTTTGTTTTTTTAATAAAAATATTAGTATCGTAAATAATGTGTATTTGCAGAGGTCAGACGTCAGAGTATATATGTACAGTGGGTCTTCGCATCTTGTCCACGTTCTAATTGTCCACTTTGATTGATGTTCCTTTCATTTGCACAGATGCTATGATTTTTCACTATATACATACATAGCCTTCTAAAAATGAGACAAGAAGGCTATGTTGCACACTACATATTCCACAATATATTGAGATTTTAATTGGGTTGAGTACATTTTTTTAACACAAGCATGATATCAATCAAACATGTGTTATTTCTATCATATATCTCAAATCTAGGCCACGCAGGCCACTAAGTTTTAGCAAGTTAGCAATAGTCACCAACGTTTGGGTTCTTCATCACAAAAGCACGCAGTATGTACATAGTCAGGATTCAAATGTATAAATATACGCACACAGATCAATGTACACAATTACACACAGTTAGAACCATCTCTATGCGACTATTTATGCCTTTTGTCTTTATAGATAAATATGGTTATGTAGTGTTTTAGACCCGCAACTCCCCAGGAGAGTAAGGTAAAAACCTTGTGGCTTACATTCGTTTGGATCGGCCAGAAATATATCCGGCAGTAATATAACCGAAAGATATGTCAACTTGACAAATGCCTTTTTTTTTACTGTGACGGTCAGATACAAGTTGCAGAGCCGAGGCCCGAGCACCCAATACCCACTGGTGAGTGATGAGTTGGTGACAGTGGGTCTGTGGTCAGTACTCAGTACCGAGCCTAGTCAACGAAGTGCTAGTGCTTTCAGGAAGCATAGCATTTAATTATGTTACTGGTACCTCAGTTGTCACTGGTCAGTGGTCACAGATGTTTTTTTACAAAACAAACCATAGCCGCGTGGCTCATAGCCTTCTGAAAATATAACAAAAAAAAACTACCATTTTGTTGCAAAAACTAAAAAATACACTGGTACCAAATGCCAAAATTGCAGTACAATACCTCCTTTCTATGTTTTTAATAAAAAAATTTGCAGATTGCTGAAATGCTGATTGCACTATTGCAGGTTGCAGATTGCATCTTTCAGAGATTGATCAAGACGTTGTAATTATTATAGGCTAGAGTCTCTACTAGAGAAGAGAGAGAGAGAGTTAGAGAGCTTCCGGAGATCACCACTCAGTCCACCTCCAGACCACAGGTCCAGGACCACACGTCACACGAGCGTGTGCCTTTTTCATTTTTTTTTTGACCGCAGTAGATTAGCGAGATCACCAGAACTTATAATTGGCCATTATTCTGTTCAATCCGAACGTCCAGATGGTACCAATTAGCAATCGCAATCTTATGATCGAACCTAAAATGATATGCTGTTTTGCTGCATTTAAATATAATTTTTCTTTTCTACCTGCTAAGTCACATCCTCCTATCTTATTTTTAGGAAGCTATGTATGGCTCAGTATTTCACAATTTTACCTAACTCCGGCTTGCGCCAAAGTCTCCTAAATAGAACAGGAAGCTATGCTTGCGCTGGGCTTGCGCCAAAGTCTCCTAAATAGAACAGGAAGCTATGCTTGCGCTGTTGCGGCTTGCGCATAAGAAAAGGACGATTTGTGATCTTTATATATATATTACTCGTACTTGCAACACACACACGTGTACGCACACATACATACACATACCCACATCTGTATACACACATTAACACATACACGCCCACATCCACGTATACACATACTCACATTTATACACACCAATGGACATACATACGCATACACACACACAAAACACGCATATACACATACACGCCCACATCCACGTATACACATACTCACATCTATACACACCAATGGACATACATACGCATACACACACACACAAAACACACGCTCACATCGTATACACATACATACATACACACATACATATACACACATAAACACCATACAAATATACACAAATATACCATACAAACACATATGCACAGGCATACACATCCACATATACGTACAGATGAAAATGTGCAAAAGCACATACGCATAAACATAAACATATATACATACACATATACGTATACACAACACAAATATGTACATACATATATACATCTACATGCACATACACAAACATACATACACACACGTATACACATACAAGCATAAATACAATCATACACGCACACATACGTATATGAGTGTGTATATGTGTGTTTATGTGTGCATATATGCGTGGTTACGTGTGTACGTATGTGTGTGTATGAATGCATGTGTATGTGTATGGTATATTTATGTGCATGCATGTGTGCGTTGTTGGGTGTGCGTGTGTGTGTATGTGAGTTTGTGTTCATGTGTGTACACATATACAAAAATATACGCACATACACACATACAGATAAAATTATATACACAAACAAAACACAATTAAAAACATACATCTACCTACATATGCACACGCATACACATAAACATATAAAATCAAATAAACATGTACATACACAAACGTATATATATATATATATACATATACTATAATAATATA